GCTGCAAGATTTGCCAAGTTGTTGCTTGAAATGCCTGCCTCTGCAAATTTGTAATTTGGCCCTTTCTTAATAGAACTTATCAATTTTTTATTCAATAGATTACATGTCCTGTACTTCTAAATTTATTTTTAACGATTATATTCAAGAAAAAGAATCACATAGATACAATGAAAACAAAATTTCAAACGAACTTGAAAAAAAGCATTTTTATATTTAAAAAAAAAACGTTTTGTGCAGAATTTTTTGGTGTACAACAGAACAGAACTTGGCGAAGGCAATTTTTCGTTATCGAGAGTTATGAGCCGAAAGCGAACGTGAGACTGGAAGTAGTCGGTTGTCATTACAGTAACCTCATGTGGTTTACTTTGGCGCCACCACTGTCAGATGCTTCTAGAAGCTCCGAAGAGCAGTTATTGAAACCTGGCACGTTTTATTGCTTTAGGACTTGTTTTGAAAAGTAATCTTTCACATGCAATATTTGCAAATTATTGTTTTACAAATCTCCAGCAAGTTGACTGTGCTAAAATGTCACCTGGTTCGTAAATTCTATGTTCGTCTGTAACAGTTGAAACGGAATAGTGTCTGGTAAAACTCTTCCTGCTGTTGACGGAATGGCAACATGAATTTGTTGCGTCCCTTTAACTAAGAGAGCTTTAACAAACCGTGGCATTAGTAGCGTTCGCTCATTACCTGCTACCGAGGAATACGCTACGCAGTTCCTCCAGTATTATCTCATCGACTCTTCCCATATGCAGTGACGAAAAGGTGCCATTCTGCAGCAATACCCAAGCTAGGATATTAAGTTGCAGAAGTTCTCCCTATTTTGACACTGCAAAACAGCTCCGTAGGAAAAGTAAATTATCTTTTTTTACGTCACTGTGACAGAGTCGTACTTGAGGCTGCTGAAAATAATCACAAAGCTGCAAAAATTAACAGACTCTGACTACGCATCCTTCAGATATATTCTTGCTTTTGTGCTTGCCCAATGGAATGTTTGACTGCGTCTTAAATTACCATTGCGTAATTCTCCGAGAAGCAGCAAATCAAGACAGCCTCATCATTTTGCAGCTTCGTTTTTCTATCTTTTAAAAAGTGACTTTGCTGAGAGGCTATGAATGAGTGACGCGGAATAACTGGAATTCGATCGACAATTTCGGCAGTAAATTCCTCCGCTGAAGCTGTAACAATTTTGAGATTACAGCGGTTCGTCGTTACCTACTGTCTTTACGCAACACAATCAGTAGTGTTCTGCTCAAAATTCTTTTAGCAGCTCAGCAGTTTCCGATATTTTGGGACAGAAGATACATAATTCCAGTAACAAGTTTCTCCGGCTGGCTGACATACTACAAAGATAAACTTGTCTTTTTATTCCTGAATAGGAACGGTTAAATCCTTAATCAGCTGATTTAACTGTACCGCCTATATCATTTTAAAATTTTGTTAAACAGAGCGTACAAATGAATTTCAGGAGCACCGGGAAGGACGCAGTGACTTGGGTCTTAGCGGTGCAACTTTCGAGAAACCGATCTCTATCTCTGATTTTTTTTGGAAGCCCGGTAAGCCTCTTTTAAATTACTCAGAATAAGGCGCTTTTGAACTCGCTTTTTTTCTTCGCCTTCTTAAACATTAGTACAATCTTCTTTACCTGCCATTACTCTGCTGACATCGTCGGAGATGCAAAAACATCGGACTCTTGCCACTTCTTCGCTCAAAGGTCTTTCAGGTTTAGAGTTTGAAGAAGCCATTACCAGCTGTCGGCTTTCCGCGCCATATAAAGAGTGGTTGAAAATTCTTGCTGAACTCTACGCAAAGACCAGCTTTTAAGGAAGAAAGTCAGAATGGTTACTTGCTCGCTTCCTAAGGTTAAGCCGCCGCAGAGACCTCTTGTTTTAACTGCTGAAGCCGTGCCTTTTCTTCTGTAACTTCCTTCCGCTCAGTTGGAATACTTTGGACTTCAGAGCCTTTCCCATTCTTGTGAACTTCTTTTTACAGTAAGCTCTGCTACAAAAACGTTTCCTTCCAACTGGGGTTTCGCCGACCAACGTGAGTCATCCACTTATGGCAACCATCGACGCACAGGGACGGAACTGTAAACCGAACGATACAAGACTGTCATAAATAACGGTTTTAGTTGAAAATGCTTTGAAGAAAACCTCAAATACTTGCTGAATGCACACTGCTGCTAGGGTCAGCCTCCTTCGTTTCTCGGCTTTTTGACTAGAATTCTGCAGCTGTTCAGGGAGTTCGTGCTTCCTTAGCCAGTCAAGTATAGGTCGCAGATTCTTCCTAGTGTCAGTACGGTTTGTCAGATTCAGAGGATTACAATAATCAATGTTGGTCGTGTTTCCACTCAGAAGGAAAACACTGATAAAGTGGTTTATGGATCTGCTTCTGACAACTAAGTGCTCTTCTTCTTCTGGCTTTTTAGATGCTCATGTTTAAAGCTCTTTGTTCCGTAAATTTGCCTTTCCACTGTTATCCAACTTTTGTGACACATGAGGAACTGCCGTTCTACC